CGTGCCGTGGCTGGCACAGACCACGCTGCTTATCCCAACCTCGCTCCCGGTGTTAATTAAACCCCACCCTCGCCCCAGCCAGAGCGAGGGGCTGCTGCACCCCATGGCTTTGCCAGGGCGGGCTGTGGGGAGCAGAGATGGGATCTGTGGCTCCTGACGTGGATTTCTGGGGAGGTTGGTTGAAGCTGGAGCGTTACTCAATGCAGTGAACTTGGGCACCACTTCTTCACGCCAATAAATGTTTTATGCTGGATGATGGAGAGGGGGAGGGAGAATCCCCAGACAGCAAGAACTGAAGCCGCAATCCCGTTTTAGTTTGGAGTAGGTCAGGTCAACCGGAGCCCTCGTGCCTCCACCACCCTTTCTGCTTAAATAAATACAAAAATCAGGAAAGCAGTCCCAGGAGGGGTGATGCAGTCAGTGAGTAAAGCCCTGCACAGCAATTACTCATCTGCCATTCGGATGCTGCTCTGTCTATCCCTGCTCCAGGTCCTCCCCTCTTTACCCGAAGTAAAAGCAGCAATTAGCTGTCGGGTGCTCATCAGGAGCCCGGGCTCTTGGGTGCTCTATTTATGACTCTTTCAGGCAGGAGCTGACTCAACAGCACTATCAGAAGTGCTGCTGTTGTTAATAACAGTGTCCCTCGTGCCCGGTGGCCTGGGTTTCTCCTGGGTGCTGCTGCTCCACGTGCTGCTTTTCAGGAATGGGGATGTACCTTGGGGGTTACAAGGGCATCACATCCCTCCTGTGTGGTTGTCATTGCACAGAGCATCAGGAGCAGGAAGAGGTGTGGGATGGGATCAGCCCAGCACCGTGCGAGGTTTCATGGTGGTTATTTTGCAGGAGGACTGAGGTGGTTTCTTCCCAGTTTATCCCATTTAGGTTTGCAGAGCTCAGCAGGCTGGGGACAAGCGTGGTGCACGAGTGGCATTTTGTGATCTTCCTTTTTAAGACACACGTATGATGATCCCTGATTCCATCTCTGGAATTAGCAGTTCTGCTGCTGCCACTGCAGAGCTGCTCTTGA